GTAGGAAATTTAAAACAACTCATCGTGTAGGTAGGAACCGCCTGAGCTAGGCTTTGATTAGAGTCTCCTTGCCACCTGCTGAAAAAATTTTCTCCCTCCAACCTTGGAGCCAAACTTTATCTTTAATGGAGCTAAACACGTGGCGCTTGTTCCTAATAGTCTGAGAGGGGAGACCCAAGTATTGACCCATATTGATGGTGTACTTTACTTTGAGCTTCTGCTTGATGTAGTCAATAACATCGAGTCTTGTATTCTTACTCAGTTGTCACATTGATTTTTCATAGTTCACTCATTGCCCAGAGACCCTTGCGTAGGTGCTCAGCCCATACTTAATAGCATCGCAACCATTTATATTTTTTTTTAGATAAGAAACTTGTATATTCCAAAAGGAAGATAAAAGGAACAACCTAAGGGTTGGGTAGAGGAAACCCCACCTAAAAGAACTAAACAACTGCTTTCCAATTGTACTTGAGCATGGAAAGGTCGTAGTTACAAAAGAATTTGCTATACTTGATGCACCACCAAGAGGCAATGTGCTGTACATTTCTACAAAAAATCTCAAAAGAAGAAGACTTATCTTCGAAGACCCGAATGTTCCTTTCCAACCAAAGGTGCCAAAGGAGAGCTCTCAAAGCACATTTCCACAAAAACTTAGCTTTTTTAGGCAGAGTCCAGCCATGCAGGGCCTCGGCCAACCAAACATCTATATGATTAGGGAAACAAAAAGACAACCCGAAGAGATCCATGATAAAGAGCCACCCTTGAGCCGCAAACGTACAGTGAATGAAGATATGATCTATTACTTCAGTGTCGGCCATACATAAACAACAAACAGAGGGGGAGAGCACCCAATTGCTACATTTATTTTGAAGCTTCTCATGAGTGTTCAAGCTTCTGTGTGCTAAGGACCAGAGGAACACCTTGACCTTTCTTGGATAGGTAAACATCACAACCCTTTAGGATAGCTTCAAAAAACAACAGGCTGTCATCTGCAAAAAAAAAAAAACAACTGGGTTAGAACAAGATGATGTTTATTAATGTGCAAACCTGAGTAATTGTTATCTCTCTCCTCTTTATTGAGAATGGCCGACAAGCCTTCAACACACAAAAGGAACAAGCAAGGCGAAAGTGCATCACCTTGCCCGAGACCTTCACCAAGTTTGAAGGACTTGCTAGGCATGCCATTTAAAAGGATTGGGAAATTAACAGATTCGACACAATTTATGATAAGATCAGTCCATTTGTCACAAAACCCATTTTAAGCATCAGCCTCTGGAGGAAAACTCATTCAATACGATCGTACACCTTGATCATGTCTAGCTTAAGGGCCACCATTTTGTCCCTTCCTGASTGTTTGTTGTTAAGAGCATGAATATACTCGAAACCAATGATGGCATTGTCCGTTATTAGTCTTCCTATAACAAAAGCAGATTGCGTGGGGGAGATAACTGAATTCATAACTCGTTTTAGCCTATTGGCAAGGACTTTAGAGATGATTTTGTAAATCACATTACAAAGGCTAGTGGGGCGGAAGTCTTTCAAATTATTTTCATGCTTCTTTTTGGGGATAAAAGTTATTAAGGGTTTGTTAAGGGAACCAACATTAGCCCCTTCATTTAGCACTTCGAGGCAAATCTCAATAGGCTTCTTACCCACTATTTCCTAATAGTTTTGGTAATAAAGTGCTTGCATCCCATCCAGGTTAGGCGCTTTCGTTGGGTGCCTTCCTATAATTGCTAAGGTAATTTCCTCCTGAGCGAAAGCTTTGGACAACTCTCTATCTTGATGCTCCATTACTTTACATTAAATTGAATAAAAAATTTTGCTAATTTCGTCCGGAGGTGGGTTAGATGATGTGAACAACTCTTGGAAATATTCAATCGCAATAGTTTCCATCTTATCATCCTCACTGGACCATCTCCCATCACTATTCACCAGCCCAAGAATCATATTATTTCTCCTTCATTAACTCGCCCGGATGTGAAACCACTCGGTGTTACGGTCTCTCCACTTTAACCAATTCTTTCTAGCTTATTGTCTCTAGTAAATTTCGTCATCTATTAAGAGATCTTCTAATTCTTTCTCATCTTTCAACATATCTTCTCTCCAATTGTCCTGTCTTCTATTTTGGATAAATTGGATTTCCTTCTCTTTTTTATATGGCACCTCTGATTGAACCTTCTAATCTTTTGTAATTCCAAGCCTTCAGCTTCCAAAGATATTGAGCAAGCTTTTGTTGGAACATTCTGGCATTCTGGGAACATTTCACCTTCTAACTCCTATTTTTCTCTCAAACTTCTTTACTCACTTCCTTACTTTCTGTATGATTCGTCCAACCTTCTTCAAATCGAAATGGCCATGGTTTCCTCCTCATGTTGGGATTAGTCCTCCACCATTCCAAAACTACTAAAATTGGTCTATGGTCCGAAGCTAAAAACTATAGGTGATGGACTTCGAAGAAAGCACAAAGTTGATCCATTTCGATATTGAGCAGGAAGCGATCTAACCGTTCCCAAATATAGTCCCTGTGAAAATGTTTGAACCAAGTGAACTGATCACCACTATACCCAGCATCCCTGATGCCACAATGGTCAATCATATCCTTGAACTTGTTCATCTGCATGGGTCTTCTATCGGCTCTTCCTTCCTTTTATGTTTCAGATATAATTTCACTGAAGCCTCCACCAAGTATCCGGGGAGGTTAGAAACACTATGTAATATCTTTATAAGACTTCAAGATTCGGACCGTCTCTCAATATCAGCCCTCTAAAGAAGCATGAGGCCTTCACTATTTTGAGGATTTCCTAGTCCTCGAACATTCCAACTTAAGATTTTCAATGTGTTCGACGGGACTATCCAGTAACCTCCACCGTTTATTTTACTAACCGACCAGTATTCATCTGTTGGGAGTCGGTGTATTTTCTGCTGTAAAATCTTCTCCCCTTGCTAATCTCTTCCATATTATATGGTTTTTTATTTGGTGGGGACCATCTGTGGATTTTTTTTTCAGTTGTTTCAGACTTTTTATTCCAAATTTCTTTGTTGCCACCACCCATGTCGGAATTAATAAGGATCCCTCTAAAATCTTCCCCTTCTTGCGCTTCACCACATCGGTCCACCATATTTTTTCCTTTGTTAACCAAATCTTGGTCAATGATTGGAACATAGCTGGTGGCCATATCTCTCTCAATATCGACACGTAGAATTCTCAAAACAAATGATTGTGGGATCTTACTGTAAATGAATTGTTTCCTTACACGTAGATGTATCCAAACCCCCTTGTTGATGCGTGAATTATGTTCTCCCGGTTCCTCTCAAGTTTCGCACCAAGTTTGATTATCAGGGACTCGAAGACCTGCAAAACCGAATAAGACTAGACCGGTGTGACACTTGTCACACGGACTCCGATACTTAAGTTAGCAAGGGGGAGCAGTAGAGTCATAAAATTCAAGGGTCGAATTCGGCTTACCTTAAGGTTAGGCAACATGATTGTTTTATAGTCGCTTGGAAGGTTCTAGAACCTTCTAAATGAGCCTTATACGTTAATTGTTCAGGCCCATTGACTTGTAGGTGGCAGCAGAGAGAGACTATCCACTAGGCCCAGAGTAGAGATATTCGATCGGTTGGTGTAAGGACCGGGTGGAGGAGATTGGGCCGTGTCTTGCCTGAAGGCCAAGACAGGTGGCGGGCGCCTCGGCGCGGAGGAGGCCTCGACACCGAGGTGGAGTCAGGGCCTTGGTGCCGAGGTGGTCTCGGCACCGAGGTGGGTTGGCTTTCAAATTAAGCCGACCCTTACGTATGGGCCAGCCCCTATTTATCGATGATCTCGAGCTTTTCTTCTTTCGTGGTCTGACCTCTCATCTCGTTTGGATCTTTTCCTTCCTATAACAGTGGCCCCCACTCTCAAAACAGAAAACGGGTGACTGCATTAGGATTTTTGTTTTGAGAGTATCTGTCGCTTTGTGGCTACCACGAAGTCATTTTATAGCATAGTCTATATGCATATTAGTGGTCAACTACGCTAAGTTTCTAACCGACAGAGCTTTTACCAAAGGCTTTTTTGCATCCAGTTTCAGATTTTAAATACCTGGTTTTTGCCACTGGTTTTGTATCTTGAGCTTGTCGATATTACTCCGTAAATTGGAAGTTACAAAAATTTTCGTTGGTGCCAATCAAGTCTCCTAGGCCTGGCTTTACCATTCACTTTTTGTCCTGAGATCTAACTTTAACAGAACTAGCATCGATATTTTTGGATTTCTAACTTGTTTGGCTTTTTGTGCCAAATAGTTTTATATCCTGTATTGTGTTGATATTTTCAGATTTCTAACTTGTTTGGCTTTTGTGCCAAATAGTTTTATATCCTGTATTTTCCTGCTTTAGTTTTGACCTTGCTGAGCCGTTACTAGCTTTTTTCCTGTTCGGCTTGCTTCTAGGTCCGTCCCAATTTTGTGTTTCTTGGTCGTAGATATTCACACAATGTATGCCCCCTGTTTGATAAATTTGTTTCAGAATAAACACAAAAACTCAAGTATTGTGTCAAATGTCGAAGACTTTTACTAGTAGAAAAATAATCTTGTCGGAGAGTAAATTACAATAAAATAACTTTGTTGACCAAGGTAACTGAGGTTTAAAACCATAGAGTACCTAAATGTGTTGAACTAGTGGTAGCATCTTCTGAGGTGATGCGCGTGCCATGGATGTGGTAAGGCCTTCCCACGCTGGTCTTCCAAGGCGTAAGTGCCTATTCGAACCACTTTAGTGACTTTGTACGGGTCTTTCCATGTTGGTCCAAACGCCCCACTAGTGGAATATTTGGTATTAGGCATGATCTTTCTTAAAACTAGATCATCCTCTTTAAAGTCGTGTTTCTTAGCCTTCGAGTTGTAGTATCGAGCTATTCGATTTTTACACTTGGTCGTTCGTAGTCGTGCTGTTTCTCGATCCTCTTCTAACAGGTCGAGGTTGAGCCGCATGGATTCATTGTTGTCAGGTAGACTGAACTACTCTACCTTTGGGGAAAGAAGACCAATTTCCACCAGCACTACCGCCTCAGAACCAAATGACAGCGAGAATGGCGTCTCTCCCGTTGATGTACAGGGTGTTGTTCTGTAGGCCCATAACGCATTGGGAATTTCTTCTGCCCATAATCCTTTTATAAGCTCTTCTGATCTGGTTTCTAGAGTTATTTTGATGATTTTGTTGACTGCTTCAACTTGCCCATTAGCTTGCTGGTGCGCTGGCGAAGAACAGATATGCTTAATGTCCAGCTCCTTACAAAATTCTCGAAAGGTAGCATCGTCGAACTATTTCCCATTATCACTGATAATGGTGTAGGGTATTCCGAAGCGGCAAATTATGTTTTTCCAGATAAAGTCGATGACCTTCTTCTCCGTAATTGTAGATAGGGCTTTGGTTTTGGCCCACTTGGTGAAATAGTCGACTGCCACCATTGCAAATTTGGTCTGGCCCTTTCCTTGTGGGGAGGTCCTATAAGGTCCATTCCCCAATAGGCAAATGGCCAAGGCACTGTTAGAGGCTCTAGCAGTCGCCTAGGCACTGTTGCAAACTGTTGGCATTTATCGTATTTTCTGGTGAATTGCGTTGCGTCATTTACCATGGTTGGCCAATAATACCCTTGTCGAGCTATTTTGTGACTTAGGGATCGTGCTCCATAATGGTTTCCGCAAACGCCCTCATGTATCTCTCTCATGACGTAGTCAGCTTCAGTGGGCGTTAAGCATTTCAAGAATGGCGAGTAGCCTCTTTTATACAGATTTTTGTCTTTAAGCACATATCCTGGCTGCTCGTCGTTGTAGTTGTTGGGCCTCTATCTTTTCATTAGGCAGGATTTCATCTCTTAAATACTTGATCAAAGGGCTCATCCAGTTTTCTTCTGGTTGCCCTTGTTTGTCGGTATCCATTGCCTCCTGAGCTTTTATGCTCGGCTTGGGCAAAATCCCGACCGGCACAGTTCTTCCCAGGTCGGTTTCATAAGCTGCAGCTAGTTCAGCCAACGCGTTGACATTTTGAGTCCAGTCGATACCCTTTTGTTGCTGTCGATTATCGTTTCTTAGGCTGGCTATCATAGCCCCCATTCTCTTTCATTGTAGTCGGTTACAATCAAGTCTCTTAGACACTGCTATACAGTTAGTTTCTACCATTTAGATTTTTGCCTTGAGATTTAACTTCTCAACAGGTCTAGTGGTACTTCTTTTTGGTATCTAACCTGTTTGGCTTTTGCCTATGCTTTATACCCCAGGGTTCACTCTCGAGTTTCTAACCTATTTGGCTTTTGCCAATGGTTTTTATACCCTGAGTTTAGTCGGTACCCTTGGGTTTCTAACATATTTGGCTTCTGCCGGTTTTTAACCCGAGTTCAATCAACACCATCGGGTTTCTAACCTATTCTGACTTTTACCAAATGGTTTTCTACCTGTGAGTTTCATTGACTGGTTTAGGCTTGTCTGCTTTTTGTTTTGACCTTGTTGGGCCTGTATGCCTGCCTTTTTCAGCATCTTGAGATTTTCTTCCCTGGTTTCACTTATTGGCTTCTAGCTTATCGGCCTGCTTATAGGTCTGTCCCAGCTCGAGTTCCTTGACCATTGTTACTCACTGGCCCCCACTTGAGGAGGTTTTGTTTAAGGTATCAAATGAAAACTTTCTCAACTACCTCAAGCCTTGTCGTTTCTCTATGTCGTTTTCTTCTATCTGCTCGTGTCGACTAAGTACTTCTCCTTGCGGAGCATAAATTTTTGGAAATCGGGTCAGCTTTCCAAGCAGTTCTGATACTACGTGCCATTAACTTTTGCTGTCGTGTAATTATCTGAACTGGTAAACGGAAGAGACCTAGTCGGTAGAGGATGCCTGGTCGGTGGAATAGATTTAGTTAGTAGAATAAGCCTGGTCGATGGAAGACACCTGGTCGACAGTAGAGACCTGGTTGGCAGAAGACATCTGGTCGACAGAGACTAGCTCGACCGAGACCTAGTCATGTCATGGACCTGATTATGCCTTGGATCCGGTCGTGCCCTAGAGTGGTCATGACCAGTTATATGGTTCGTCTGTCAGGTCTTTGCAGTAGCTTTGTCCTTCCACGAACCTCGGACGGGCATAGGTTGCCTTTTCTTTTGTTGCTCGAGTTTTTCAAAAATGAGGGTTGTGTTCTTGACACACTCTCTTGACTTTTCACAGCAGCCATTTTGTTTTTTAGATGCCTTAAAACTTCATCAAGTTGCTTTCTCCATTATGGGATTTATTGATCGTTTCTCCCGAAACCTATTTTAGAATCCATCGATTTGTCTCATCCAAGACCTGTCTTGAAACTTGTCAATTTGCTTGCTCTGGGTCCTGCCCCAGAACTTGTAGACTTGCTTTGCCCTAGACCTCATCGGGTCTGAGCAGTCTGTCTCTTCTTCTGATGGATTGACTTTATTTATCTAGGATCTGTCTTGGAATTTATTGATTCGTTCGTTCTAGGTCCTGCCCCAGAACTTGTTGATTTGCTTTCCCCTCGACTATCTTAGAAAAGGGCAGCCCCCATCATCCATGTCATCTGTTTATCCCAAGATCTCCTCAGATCTGAGGTGTTCTAGGTTAATTCGTTGCTCTTCGGATGTTTAAAGGGATCAATTCTGATTCTCCAGTAGGTTTTTCCCTAACTCGGAGATCTGAGGTGTTCTAGGTTAATTCGTTGCTCTTCGGATGTTTAAAGGGATCAATTCTGATTCTCCAGTAGGTTTTTCCCTAACTCAAGTGGATGATTCCATGTGATGACTAGGGCTCAGGTCGGCCTTTTCATCGCAGTATATTGTGTCGTTATCTATCGAGGGTGTCAAACCAGTTGCGTGATCTAATCTCATGGCGTGACCTGTTCCCATCCTTCTGGTGGTTAAGTGGCCACCTACTGGAGGTGCTGACCTACCGGAATGACATGTTCTCACTTTACCATCAGGACCCTGTCGCCCATCTCCTTGATCTGATTAGGGTTTTGGGCATGTCTTTTTGCGACCACGCAAACACGTCGGCATTGCTTCTAAGGAAGTTTATTGGGCTCTTTCTTTCTTCAGTTCCCAATTGTTGACTCGTCGATCCTCGGAAGTCAAAGAAATAGATTTCACCTCCTTAGCTGGTTCTCCCCTACGAGAGTGATCGAATTTATTCGATGACCCGGCCTCGGATTTGCTTCTCTCGAGTGGTCAACAGCCTCGTTTGGACTTTTCCTTTCGAAACATTGTCATCTTCCACCAGGAGTTATGTCGACTTACTCCATGTTACCCTCCTCAGATTTGGATTTCGTCTCGGCTCCCTCCTTGGATTAGGATTTCATCTCGGCTCCCTCCTCGGATTAGGATTTCGTCTCAGCTCCCTCCTCGGATTAGGATTTCACCTCGGCTAAGTTTGCTCGAACTGCATCGTCCCCACAGACCGTGCCAATTGTTGATGCATGGATTATGCTCTCCTGGTTCCTCCCGAGGTTCGCACCAAGCTTGATCATCATGAACTCGAAAACCTGCAAAACCGAGCAAGGCTAGACCGGTATGACACTTGTCACACGTGCTCCGATGTCTAAGTTAGCAAGGGGGAGCAGTAGAGTCATAGAATTCAAGGGTCGAATTCGGCTTACCTTAGGGTTAGGCAACATGGTTGTTTTATAGTCACTTGGAAGGTTCAATAACCTTCTAAATGAGCCCTAGACATTAATTGTGTAGGCCCATTGACTTGTAGACGGCAGCAGAGAGAGACTGTCCACTAGGCCCAAAGCAGAGGTATTCGATTGGTTGGTGTAAGGACCGGGTGGAGGAGATCGGGCTGTGTCTTGACCCGAAGGCCAAAACAGGTGGCCGGCGCCTCGGCGCCAAGGTGGGTTAGCTTTCAAATTGAGGGGCCGACCCTCATTCGTCGATGATCTCGAGCTTTTCTTCTTTCGTGGTCTGACCTCTCATCTCGTTTGGATCGTTTTCCTTCCTATAACACCTCCAATCCTCCCTTTCCCAACTTGGCTTTTCTTCCGCCAGGACTCTGCTCCGCCTTCTTCATCTCTTCCAATTTTCTCAAAGTGGCAAATCAGGTTGCCTAGCGCTACTGAAGATTTCCTGGAAAAACATACGAAAGGTAATTCATGGAAATAGAACAAGAATGAGGAATACCTGAGTTCCAACTCATGGAAATTGGAATCTGCTCGAGGCTCTTCTAATAACATCAATGCTTTGTTAAAGAACCAGCGTCCATTGTTAATAACTTTAGATTTCTCTCTCTGGTATTTGAAATAACATTTGCCAACATTCTCAATCTTCACTCCGGGTTGTTCCATATCCTAGGCATCATAGTTCCAAAGATTTCCCCATTTACGTTTTTTTTTTTTTTGTAGTCAGTAGTTTACACACGATTGCATTTCGTGCTTGTTTGTATGATGATTCAATTTCCTCTTTTTTTAAATCGAATACTTTTTCTTTCTCCTCTGCTGTTAGTGTCATCTTTTCCACCGGACGGTTGAGTAACTGTTCATCCATGGCTTGGAGAAGACCAATAATATGACAAAACGGAAAGCTGCCTCCTCCCCCTTCATCACCACGGCTTCCAATCTCTACGAAGACTCAAAGAGATTTCTTTTAGATTATTATTTAATAAATCTAATGGTTTGGAAATTTTTTTCCTAGAATTTTATTTAATAAATCTTTTTTTCCTAACTTAGAAGTTTTGTTTTTTTTACTAGATTCTAAAAATAGGTAGAATTATATAGTTAGGGAAAAAAAGTTATAGTATTGTCCAATAAAAATGGTTGGGAAAACAATGAGTAGAGTTGTCCTATGAAAATGGGTTGCTCCTGAAATTGTTTTAAAGTAATGATATGAGTTGGTCCTAAAATGTTTTTAAAGTAGCAATTTAGTCTCTGAATTTTCAAAAGTAACAATGTAGTCTCTGTATTTTAAAATTAGTTACAATTTACTGTCTACTATTAAAAATTAGGTTAGATTTAACCAAAGTTATCTACATATACAAATTAAATATTTAGCTATGCAAGTCGGTTTAATTCTAGGTCGGTTAAACTTAGATCGGTTCAAGCTGCTTGGAAATTATTCGCCTCCTTCACCCTGCCGTATTCTGGAATAGGCGTCTAATTAGGCTTCACAAAGTCATGGTATCAGCCAACAATTCCTTGATATTCTTGGCTAGGAATGGGAAGCAACGCCTTCCATTGCGACGACAGCGACACGTTAGACGGTGAGTTTTTGAAGAGGCTTGATGGGTTTTTGCATGAGAGGAAACATGTTGGATTCTTGACGGAAAATGGTGCTTCAAGCTCGACACAGGATTTCAGATTCGAAGTTTACAAAGACTCTCATTTTTATTTAGGCTATTTTGTTTGCTCAATGGCCATTTTTGCAAAAATGGACCAAAATTGGGCGAAACAATACAACCCCACACTCAAGACTTTAGTCTCCGATTACATGAATTCCATACACAAAAAATTGACATTCTCAATTTCATTTAGAAGTTATGATTTTTGGAGACTACATTCTACATTTTTAGGCCGCCAGATTGCACCCATTTCCCCACGGTTCGAATCAGGACAGCACGAGCAAAGCAATGAACGCTAATTACGAAGGGGATTTGTGAAGAGGTTTGCGTACTTGGGCTATGGCCAAGCACAACAAGGAATTCCTGGCCAGATATCAAGGCTCCGTGAAGCCTAATCAGACGCTTATTCAAGTAGTTTGAACCAGTCTAAGTTTAAACCACCCCAAAATTAAACTGACTCACACAACAACTGGATATTGAATTTGTACACATGGATAGGAGTGAACAAAAGAAATCGAAAAACTGAATCGATCGACTAAAACCGACTGACCGACTTGGTCGGTCGGTTTAATAAAGAAGTCGGTCGGAGTCAGGTTTTGAAAAATCAAAACCGACCATTGGTCGGTCGGTATGTCAAAAAACATCATTTTTAACCGACCGATCAACTTTTATTATTTATAATAAATAAAAATAATAATAAATGCGGTATGCACACCCGCAGACTACAATGCCAACGGCGCCTTGGGAAAATAAGGGCCGTTGGTTGATTCCCAAGGCCCATTTGTATTGTTTTTAT